TGTGTATTTAGAGTATAAACGTTATCTTCAAACGCTACTTGTTATGATTTTACAACACACATAGAGAGGATTGTATTAATCAAACAAATTTCAACCGCTTAAAATATCTTAATTTGAAAATTATATCCAGATGATTCATCGCGTTTCCATGAAAATTAAGCGAGGCAATGTCCAAACGATTTGTCAACCGGTTCACGCAAATTCTTTAATGATCCCTATTGATCTCATTTGATCGCGAGGATAAACCACAAGTGCCGCATTAACCGCATCCGCGGGAACCTTGGGCGCGGCTTGTTTAATCAAAGCTATCTTGTTCGCCGTAAAAGCGAGACCAGCTGTTGTGGCTCGATAGTATGGCAAGCGCGACGAGTTTCGAGGCGTACAGTGCTACGTTTGTATAAAATCGAACAGCGATGTACTCTACACCTCGGATTTTCGAGAATACACTGTTGTTCAAGAACCATCTTGATTGACTGCGCGTGAAACGTTAACTCTTCAAGTAAGTTTCGTCGAAGTGAGATGCGTTGCATGTTAATTTTGCGAATCTGATGAATGAGTTTAATTACGTGGTAATTCCGATTTCCGCGAAGCACTGTTGCAGTAACTGACAGAAATTTATTTCTTAAATCTAAAATCCTCTTTGTTTATGCTCCTCTTAACATTTTACACTGGGGCCCTACGATATCGTATAAAATCATTATTTTTTGATAATCCTGAAAGAGGAAAGCGTTGAATCTCTGCTATATAATAAGTTGAATTAATTATTAAAATAATTAAGCATTCTCCTTTTAATTCCAACAATCGAGAAAAAAATTTACATTACGGCAGAGATTATAAAAAATTTTAAAAATACTCGTACAAATTTAGAAACTAAAATAAAAAATAGCAAGCTATATATACATACATTTCACAAACGAAATCTTCAACCGGCGACATCGACATTTCGCAATTTATTTTTTCTTTCGGGCAAGACGGTTCGTCCTCAGAATACAAGTAAATTTACTCAGCATCACTTACGCCGAATTTTAAATAAATGTCGTGAGTCGAAAGCAATGTCAAGTTTCGACATCGTAAAATCAACGATTAGATCGACTAGGCCAAGAGTTGGCGACGATGATTCAAGCAGACGAATACAAGAAATTCGTAGTAAAGATACCACATCTGTCTCGCTGTAACTCGGTTATATTTCCGCGTATCGTAACGATTTTAATGAATTCGATAAGTAGGTATATGCTAATGGGGACAGACGCACGAGAGGGCGGCAGAGGAGAGAAGGCCCATTCTTGCGGGACTGCCGATGGCCTGCGAGATGGGCCCGGGAGTGAGTCATCTCGAAAGAACTGGTTTCTACCGTAATACCCAGGTATCGCCGATAAAGAATCATTCCGACGCCTAATAACTTTGGCTGCTGCGCCTCCGTGATTCGACCATAACAATCCGTGAAACCATGAAACTGGAATCGCGGTCATATCCGCACCCTTTCCAAGTAGGAAAGCGAAGGCACAATAATAAACTTTCGTTATATTGCAGGTACAAAAATCTTCTGACATAGGTAGAATTTGAAAATTAGTTTCTTTCCTAACGTATATACTTATATAAATTCTATACACAGACATAATCTTCCCATCTAAATATGAATCTAAATATAAATATACATCTGAGTCTGCATGAGTCTATATTTGTACGTATTTAACGTATGTTAATCTATATTTATGTACGTATACTTGATCCTTTATTTTTTTTCTCAAATTTTGAATTATACAAGAACGGATTACAAGAACGGAACGCGCATGCGTCGATCATACTTCCTTATTGATCGCAGCCACGAGGAGAACAGCAGAAGAGAAATGTTTTATCGATTAGATCGTAGCAACGTCAATCTTTGCGTGAACGTGAAGTAAGCCGACGATACTGACGAAGTACAGGACACCGGTTCGGATCAACGGTAGGCGGACAAGCAGTGCAACGATAAATTATGTTATATCGGACATACGAAATGCCCTGCGTATCGGCCGTGCCATCGGCTCCTGAATTATCGCGTCGATCTGTAATACGGGATTTCCATACGCGCGGATTCCCATAAATTCTACAAGAGGGTCGATCTTTCGGCTACCTCTAAATCTGTCAGAATTCTTATGCGCAGCAAAACGGTTTCTTCCCGAGAATCGAGACACCGCACATAAATATAATATACACTGGTTAATCATTTCGATGTTTATAGTATTAAATCAAATAATTACTATCCACAGAATCCTTAACGAAAAGTATATTCTTATTACTCTTTTCTGTACAAGACGCGACCGCCGGAAAGGCAGGTAAGAGTGGCCGATTAATAACTCGCTGCATAAGTCGCGTATAATTACGTTAACCCGGGACAGCGTGCATCATCAATTATATGCAATTTAAAGTCGTAGTAGTGGCAACATAGTGTGCTGCATACATATATCCGGTAAAGGAACGGCCGCGATCGTGCGTGCACCGAGACGTTTACAGTAGGTACAGCCTGTATGGGAGGTCCGAGTATCTCCATCCGATATCCCCACCTGCAGTTAACCCCGACCAGCTTGAGAAACGTACCCATTGGTTGCCCCACCATTTTTCAGACTTTAATGATAATGGGATAATGATGATTACACTGTTCAACTACCTGTACTAGACGGCACCTCTCTTTCTCTCCCTCCCCCGTCTCTTTCGTCTTGTCCATTTACCTATTTAACCGCCTCCTAGCAATCGCCGTCAAGAAAGCGCGGAAAGCGGATAGATTGATCTCTGTGTCTTGTCAAGGCGACTTAAAGCCTCGCAATTCATTTCGAATTAGCCTGAGAATGGCTTCGAGAGACGCAACAGGATAAAATTTAATATCCATAATTATAGAATGCGACTAACAGAGAGTTATGCATTTTAATAAAATGACCAGCATTAGTTTTTCAAAACAAGATATTAATAGCGCACACTGTTTTTTCGCAATGGTTTATACGCAATATCATAGTAAAGTGCATGCAACGCGTAAATGTTTTTGTTCACTTTAATGACTCTGTATCACGAGGCGATATGTCGTAGTCACGGCATAAATATATATCGCATCAGATACTTAAATAAATGTCGACATATCATAGATATTTTAGACGCTGCCAATAATAAACCGCGTTAGATAAACGATGCTTCGTTGTGACGTATATCAGGCAGATGCCATTATATCGGAAGGTCCGGCTAACGAAGCTGATTACTGTTTAATATTAATATAGAGGTGAAATTAACCGATAAATGATATAAATCATCAAGCTAGAGATCCACCCACTGCGTTCTCGTTCATGCGTTTCGAGTGCGTAAAACATCGTATGACGTTTTATGGCTTTAGAGCGCGACGGCGAGAAAACCATTAACCGCAGAAACTATTAGGCACAGATTGCCGAGAGCGGTATACGCCAATGACATACACCTACGTTTCAGTCGTAATCTCACGAGGTTTTGCAGAATTACGTAAGACATATGGAAACGTTAAAGTTGTCCCTTTTTCGCCCGCGGTACTTTGCTCTTTAATAAGTCATACCTAATGCTCTTTAATAACTCATATCTAATGTCGTTAAGAATACACGCTTCATTAGATTTTAATTTATTCAATAACTACGCAACAACTGCTGCTTGTGCACGAATACGCGGGGTGATTCTGATTACTATTCATGATCATCCCTTGTGACTTTTACGCATGAAAAAATAATTTTTCTTAATTAATTATAAATTTTTCTAATTCAAAATTTTTTTATTTTATTTAAATATATTATTTTTTTACTTTTAAAAATCCTGATGAGTTGAATCTAAATAAATTCCAGACTTCTAGTAGAAAAATGTTGAAAATACAAAACTAGGCGTCTTCCGCAGACGATGCCCGTCGTTGGCATGCAGACGGGACCGTAACAACGCTGTCAAGCGATTCTTATATGAAGACACATTGCCGCAGTTGAATCGCGTCTGCGTCCTCATCAGCGTGCTTTTCTTTTTATTCACCATGAACAGAGGTTAACTACAATTATTCCATTAAGCGTTAGATCATCAACAATAATAGTCAAGAATAGAAACGATCAATCGATAAGATGCGGCCAGTGGTGCACTATCGTGATTTGTCGTGTCGTTTGCTCAAAACACAATTGGACCATGAAAGTAAACTTTATGAGAATTGGAGATGAAAAATTAAAGATTTGTTGCAAGATGCAATTAGTATAAACAGATATCATTGGCTGACGGCAGTCGATCTTTATCACTTATAATTGTAAAGTAACGATCTCTCATTCTTGACACGAGAGGCTTAAAATCATTCGTTCTAAAACATTAGCGATGATCTTATCTTCTCGACTCGAAGATTTGTTATTCAAAATGATTTTGCGGAATGAGAGATTAGACCGAGGAAGAAACCTGATCGGTCGATCTATTAGGTCATCTATCTCATCGATGATAGCGGTGGTTAACGAGGGCGTTAATCGAACGTAGTAACTGACGCTCAAGCACATGCTAAATCTATTGTAAATTATTGCACCAGGTTTATGGTGCAATAACTGTAAGGCCTATGTTGCGCTACTGTTGTCACAAGAAGAGAATTAATCGCTTTTCGTTTTTCGATAAACATTTAATGTAGTTAGGCTGCTAAAGTTTCATTATCTCGAAAGAATATTCAATTTTTATGAGTTTGTTTTTTATAATATAATAAACATTACATTTTATTGCCAAACAAAATTAACAGTAAACACTTGATAAATACAGCATCATTCGATAATAAATCGACTAAAGTTTTGCTGCGAAAATAATATTAAATAAAATTTTTGTAAGGCTATAAAAACAAATGCACTTTTTATATTTCTTTATGCACTATAATATAAAAATTTAATTGTTTACCATAATTCGATTATTAAAAATATTATTAAAAAAATCACAATCGGGCTATTATATTTTTTATAATATTAATTTTTCTCACACATACAATAGACTATGTATTTCTTTGTTTTCAGGCTTATATACTTTACAGCAACACTTACACGATCACGAGATTGTAATACCACGGAAGGTGAATCACCGAGGCGACTTAATCTCACATAATGTTACACATCATCATCATGAGGACGGACCAATCGTTCATTATCAAGTGACAGTGGCTGGTAACGAGTACCACCTCGAACTGACAGCTACTGATAACTTCATTGGCCGTGCGATGGTTGTGGAAAGGAGGAAGCGGGATTTGCACGTCCGTAGCCCGGCGAAAAGTCACGGCAGCAAATGTCATTATCGAGGATTTATTAAGGGCCATCGGAATTCCCGTGTCGCCCTGTCTGCCTGCGACGGTTTGGTGAGTTACACTTTCGATTTTTTCAAGTGACTGTGTTTGCATCAACTATATTCGCATCACATTCGCAATTGCTAATCGAGAATCTAAAATTTAAATTGTCCCGATCTTAATTTAATTATGTGAATGTAATTCAATTTTGTAATTCAGTATAAAAACAAGAAGAAGGAAAGTTATAACAAATCGCATAAAGTTAAATTTTAATTTTTAATTTTACTTCCGGCAAAGAGAGAAGCTAATTATGTCTAGATAAATTACGCGAAAATCATTTGCAAGTTCCGTGATGCAACGTGATGCAATGTGTCGAATCACGTTAGAAACTTAAACGGAACGAGCGAAGTTTGAAATGATATAACGTGGCAAGTGCGATTGAATCGTCAACTGCAATTTGCAGACGGAAGGCAACTTTCCTGTTGCGCTACCGGCGATCTAATGCATTCTCCGTGACTCGGAACCGCACGAAGAGTATAACGAGAGATAAAATCTGCACTGTCGACGACTGTCGAGCATTAACCGTCCATATGTAGGAACGAGAATCGAGCGCGAGGGTCCTGTTGGTTAAATTATGAACTGTCGGATATGCACGCGGTGCAATCAGCATTGTATGTATATCTGCTTGGTTATGCTTGCGTCGGCGACCAGACACAAACTTTCGGATACAACTCAGTTCAACGAAATCTCTTTGTCCATGAAATAGAAAGAGAAAGACCCACACACGTTTGCGGGACTAAATGAATGACAACCAATATATCAAGCAAATAATCAGCGTTATCTTACTTGCAAGCGATTGCAAGCGATTGCACTCATGGTGCCCTTAAACCAACAACATACGAAACATGTTTTAGCTCGTTAGGTCTTTTCTCTACGGTGATTTGAAATCAATCATATTATACGCGCTTGTCTGCCATGCCATATGACAGCAAATCTGTAGCGAGTCGCAGCGAGTTGCTGCGACTCGCAAGACAGCAAGAAAATAAAATACATCTCGTGTCCTGCGGCCTTTAACTTACCGATGAAAGCAACAAGAGTGTATCGTTTTTTTTCCCTGCGCTTAAAAATCAGTTTATCGTGCAGATTAATTAATGGATCCGGTCGACAACTCACGGCCAACAGCTCGAAATCAGGTCGAATACTCTGATTGTATAGCATACGAGCCAATTTTTCAGGGGTGATTTATTGCGTATCTGAAATGCACTTCTTTTACGAATATCGCGACGAAGCAAACCGAAACTGTCAATGATAATTCAATCGGATAAGAGCAGTTCACTCGCGACAAATTTTTTTTCAAAAATTGTTCGCCGGCAGAGCTATTTGTTACTAGAAACCGATGAATTAAAATGCATTTACTTGTATAAAAAAGAAAAATAAAACCTACGCCAAGTACATTAAAAAGTATCCATACTTATGTATGCAACAAAAGTTAAAATACAAAAATTTAAGAAGTTTGTATTAAATCTACTACTTATTTTATATTTTGCGTTTTTTATCATAAAAGAAGAATTTGTCACTCGATCGATGCATAACAGCGGAGTTTACTACGTAGACTAGATTTATCCAACCTTAATACGATGTTATAATACCTTTGCACGGCATTCTTGAAATTAATATTAAGCTGAACCATTCACGGAGCATAAAAATAAACGCGCAATACTTTTTGTACGACATTTCCGAACTCGGATGCACGACATTTTGCACAGCATTCCTGAAGCAAATAATTATTCACGGTATGATAAAAATAAACACACAACGGCATTCTCGAATCAATTAAGGCGTTGAAGTGCGGATATCGATCAGAAACGTTAAAAATCGTTTGGATTCTTAAGGATAAATCTTCCAGGTATTGAACCCTCTACTAACATTAAAATACATTCACTTAGCGAAATAGTTTCATCAGGCGAAAATCCGATGCAATAAATATAAATATACTTCAGAAAAACGATTACCGATCATCATCAATACATTTCATTACAAATTACTTCCTTTATTAAAACAAACATTTTTTAATTAAATTACAATATATATATATATATATATATATATATATATACATATATGAATTTTAAAATTAATTAATTGTATAAGCTAATAATTATTCGTGAAACTGTCACATTTCAAAGAAGGACGAATCGTTTGAGCCTGTCGGCTCGAACTTATTATTTTTTCACTGCGAATGTTATAGCACGAATACCTACATAAAATGCTAAGATGCGAACCTAAGTTAAAATTTTGTCTCTGTTTTTAATTTCATTTTTCTATATTTATTGATTTTGAAGAATTTTAATGAATTTCATTTATATAAGAATTATATTTTATTTATATTGAGTTACTATACATATTGAGTTACTATTTATATTGAGTTACTATATATTTCAAAGAGGCAGTAAATAATTCCATTTAGAGGTTTAAAAGAGGAGCTTTTAGTCAAATACATTAAATCATAGATTAAATAATATTTCAAAATAGAATAATCTGCTTAAATTATCAAAGTAGATATTGGATCGAATATTGAGATCAAAAATAGAAGAAAACTATCGACTCGGGCAATGTAATATTCAGAATACATTAAATAGAATGTAATAATTCATCATTTTATAGCTCATAAAATTTATTTTCTTTGAAGTTTATCCTTGGCGATATGACGCTTTTTAAATAAGATATACGCTCTTCATATGCGGTGCATGTTTCTAAAACACTTGAGATGTACGGAAGTGGTGTGTCGGCTATAACGAAGATTATACTGTTGTGAAAGTTGAAAATTTTCCGGAAACTGGGCGCACATTTTCTCGTCGAGCTGCCGCCGCAACCCTTTTATCATCATCTTGAACTGAAATTTATGTGTATTAGTCTACGCGCCATAATTGTGCAGACTCCCGCGCCAACCGCGTGAGCCACAAGAAGAGGAAACATTCGCGCAAAGTTTCCCTCGCGAGAACATAAAATCATGGTAACGGCATATAAACGGGCGGATGGAGGAATGCGAAGATGAGAAAGAGAATCCATCGGAACATAGTACATGGAGAAACAGAGAATGTATAGGAGCTTGTGAGCAAGCATCAGAGCAATTTGCTCGCAGCTTCCAGATAATGATTTAATTTGCCACGACTTGGCAGATTTATGACGGCGCACCTAGTCGTTGTCCGCGTACGCATTATAAATTGCACACGCGCTTAAGATTGCTCCAACATCGATACTAATTTTAAATGTCCCATCGGCCCGGCAGCGCGAACCCTAACAGAGTTCGTCTTATGGACGCCCGGTTCTCACGCAATACCGTGTAATTGCTCAATTTTCTGCAGGAACCTGGCGGAACTGCATATCTCGGCCGCAGTAATCGATCCCACCGTGGATATTATAAAGACACGAAATTTCGTGAAATCGTGGCGCTTCGCAATAACGCCACAAGGTAGATCTGCATCGTTCAAGTCAAGGTACTTGTATGCCGCAGGCAATATGGTAAATTTACTTTCCTACGCTAAAAATACTGAAAGTAGACACTGAAAAAATTAACTTGATTTTTTCTCCATTTAAAACAGAGAGAGAAAGAGAGAGAGAGAGAGAGAGAGAGAGAGAGAGAGAGAGAGAGAGAAATTTTATGATAAAGTTAGAATATACAATATAGCCATTACGACGAAAATATGATGAATGCCAACAAAAATTAGCCTAAATTTTTGAGCAATAATAAATGTTTATATTGTCATCGATAATAAAACAGCTGATTTCGATACATACAGTTGCTTGATACATGCAACTCTGTTTACCAAGGTCTTACATAGTGTACTTATCTCTCACAGATGATACTCGTTTTTATTGGCCATAAAATCTGCATCACAGAGGCACGCGAGTATGCTCCCGTATGAGAGAAGGTGATTTCGACGCGTAACCGCTATAAAACTCGAGTTTACTCGTGCCACTTACGCTCGGTTTACGCGAGACTTAAAGTCCTATTTAGCAGCGGATCATATAAGCCGCGTTGACTTTAAACGATTAAATATCCTTTAACTTTTAAAATTGAGATTAAATCATTGACTTTAGAACCAATTCTTCAGCGATTAACAAACAACTTTAACTTTCCACCTTAAGTTCTTAAGTCATCTTATGGCTAGATAAAATTATCTTTGCAGAAATAAAGAATTAATGTAAAATATTACATTATTAAAAAAATTGAATCATTTTTTACATATATGTCATCAACCTAAATTATATTTTAATGCTATTATTAATACTTGAAATTTATTATGAGTTAAAATTATAAGCGCAAACATACTGATGAGAACACGATTAATTTAAAATTCTTAAAAGAGAGATGCACACACACACACACAAAATTCATGTTAAATGTAAAATCATACTTCATGTATTTATAATATCGAACTATTTAATTCTCAAATTTTTAAATTATTATGTTGTAAATGATGATGTGCTATTTGCAAAGCAAATTTTTGTTTCGCTGCTGCTAATTATAGGACGTATAATACCTACTCGCCGATGCAACACTGCGAGCAATTTTCGTAATTGGTGATGATCTGCTCGGATCATGTATATCATCTGCTTTACGGATCTAGGAGTATTTGCACGTGGCATAAACGAAACAATCGTCTCAACTCTCGTGGTGTTGTATTACTACGTTTGCACGCGTGTGCGTATGTACATATGTATGCACTCGAGAGGCCAAATGTAATTGGCGCCGATACGTAATGTTCAGTAATTTCAGGTTTGTCTGATAATGGCCTTATCCCTTGGGTTAATCTCCCGATATAATCTCCACTTTGGTTGCGTAACGCTGAGTTAGAATTGAATCTAACACTGGTCATCCCTTCGTTGCTTTAAGTATTGATTGCATATTGAAGTTTGATCAGAAGATCTCCAATCATATTTTATTCTTTTTATTTCGAAAGATTAAATGATCTTTTATTTCATTTTTGCTAATTAGTAAATTAAATTTATCGCTTTATTTATATACATATCTGATATGATATCTCTCTTAATTAAATTTAAAATTGTCT